GAGCTCTTCTGTGTAGCATCCCATCTCCCTGAAGGATCCTTAATGTTGCATTCAGATTATTTACCTTTCCCAGCTTTGGGTTTATTGGCTGCATGTAAATTGTGAGGTGATAAACTCTGTGGCGCTCTTTTTGCAGGAGTACACTGAAATTTCAGCTCTCTTCTAGTTTGCACACCTGGATTTGCTTCCCATGAAGGAAGAGGGTACACAGTTAAGAAACTGTTTACTTTATTTAGAATTTTTTTGAATGGCTACCCCCTGGCAATATGAAGCTTCTAGAAGATGTCACTAAAGGTTAAGTTCCCCTCATAACAAACCTTTTGTTTTTGTCTACACACTATTGGCCAGTGTTTGAGAAGCTAGTTTGATTCTTTAATCGAGTGAGATTTCTCATGTATGACACAGCCCAAATTTTTAAGCATTAAAGAGTATTTCCTTCCAAGTAGCTGATGATTTATTAACACAGCAATGACATGTTTTTAAGCTGGTATTGAAATACCCCTGGTATTTAGGTAGCATTTCCCTGGTTTTTGTTTAAGTATCTGTTGATGCTTTTCTTGACATCCAGATGTGATAGAACTGTTTTGCACTGCTGGGACAGATGCGTGTAAAATATAAGCTATTAAAGACAAGATATTTGTCATGTTTGCAGCTTTGTATACTTACTATACTGGAGTATGGTAAACATGAGATGTGCAAGATTTTCCAGTTAGCTCAGAAAATTCCCATGATAGCAAGTAATGTGATAGAATTTAAAGTTATTTCCTTCACTCTAGCTCTAAAATTTCAACTGTTGCTACTCATCACATTTTTTTTCTTGTCAACAAGAATCTTTCTGCTTAGCCTTGTTGGCTTGATTTCTTTCATGAGCACTGTTTATTACCTGACACCAGTCTAATTGGAGGACATACTACTCCTTAGTCCATATAGGACAAGTTTTTGGTACACAATTATAGGAATATACGCAATTTTGCATAGTACAGCATGGTCTCTCCAACAGATTGTACTAATGTGCTATGGAATAGAGATGAAATCTTTTAATAAAAAATACTTGATGTCAAGTACTTTTGTGTATTTGACAGAGTCAGTCCTCTGACTGAAAATAAAAATTCAGAGCTGTCAGTTTTGCACTTATTTATTTAATTTACAGGCCGGGAACAAATGTAAATATGTAGCAGTAGAAACTGGGATTTTGAATTCCAAACACCACCTTAGTAGGCTTTCCCCTTTAGAGAAAAAAGCCTCTTTCTCATCTGTAATGAGCTTTTTATGCCCCCCCGCCCCAACAGCTACCAAAATGTAACGTTCACTGGTGTAACAGGGATCAGAATCCACTCCTAGCTTCCAAATGTTTGACTAGTTTGTTACTTCACTTTTGCAAATATACTGAGAATCAGAATGTATTTTGCATATTTCAGCATAATATTGAAAAATACTAATTTGTTTCTGTCAAAATTATGTAATTGGGACACTTTATTAAACCATGAATATGTTCTCTCAGTTTTAATCTTACCTCTAGGTAACATCAGAGTTTAACAGGATATGACATACAACTTTTTCCTCCTGTAATAACTGTACTATTCTAAAACATTGGGAACTTACAAACATATTTAGATATTACCTTCCTATAAATTTCCATAGACATAGAAGAGTGGTCCATGACACAACTAAGACTATACAATGATTTTTAGAGAGCAGTGTCTGAAGTAGTTCCCTATAGAAGGGTAATTCAATGAAGGTATTACTGATATAGAGCTACTAATGTAGAACAGCTGAGGTGAACTTATGTCAGGCTTATGGTGAAGGAACCACTCTGGCTTACTTTCTCACATATATTTGCTTTGTGAATGTGACTTTAGAAGTTTCTTCTGTATTAAGCAGCAAAAATTACGTTATATTTGTGAAGAGCTGACTTGGTTTGGTGGAAGTGGAACGCTTCTGCCAAGATCCACGTTGCAGGCTGAAATGAACGCTCAGTGTTGTCTTGCTGCAGGACTGCCACGTAGCTGCTCAAGCCGAGTCACCACAATATAATATACCCTTGAAAATGGAACAGTCTAAAAGTAGCTACAGTATTTGGCCACACAAAGGAATGTTTTTATGCAGAATTATAGGGCTTGTAATATTCCAGAGGTCAAGTAGTTTTCCTGTCGGCACATCCCATAGTCCTTGTCCCTCTGTGAAATACCAAATCAGACTGAATAATCAGATTTTCCTTACTGTTCTATTTCAAACCATATTTAATATACTAGTGCTTATACTGTAGCTGGGAATTGACTAGAAGGCTGCAAGGATATTTATTTTCTCTCCTACTAGTTGTCACAAATATTTGCCTCCCTTATGATTGTATTAAAAATTACTCTGGTTGGCGGTTTACATCAATACTGCCACTCACAAAAAACCAACCCCCAAAGTCAAAAAAAGTTGGAGGAAATGTGAAATCTGAGAGACGAGCTGCGTTGGATGTACTAGCATGCTGGCACTTCCCAAGGAAATTCTAATTATGTTAATGTCTTCAGCTCTGGCTTTTGAGCTTTTTTTTTTTTTTTTTTTCTTAATTAGCAGAGTGTTTATGAAAGCCCACTTCCTTTTCTCCTCAGGGGTATGTGTAAAGCAGCCGTTGTTCCTAGCAAGTGCAGAGCCCTGGGGCACTGTCCCCCTGTGGTGGCAACCCCGAGGGGTGTTTGCTGCGCTCACCCACCTGCGCATAGCAGCAGTCAGTCTTTCTTCTAGGCCATTTCTTGTTTTTATTTGAGAGCGAAAGATCCCAAGTCCATTTCAGTATAGATCTGTGCACACAGGGACACCGTACATTACATATTTATTTATGATTAATGAAAATGAGTGTGATCCTGTGCAAGAACTGGTTGATAAGTATGAGGCCTTGTCAGGCACTCCATTAAGGCTGCACAGGAAATTCTAAAGCCAATTTGAATTGACTTCTTCTTCTCAACTGACTATCATTTATGTTTGGATGTTCAGCTTTTAGACTTAAATCTTTTATGCTTTTTGGATAGAGACACTGGAAATGATTCCGTCTGCTTTAGTCAGTTAGAGGATTATAAGCAGCACATTCTTGCTATAAGGCAGAAAACTTTACGTGCAGTTTTTCTTTTCAGTGTGGTTACAGCAGATGGCATCGAAAGATGTACAACATGCACACTTTTTCTCTGCAGCAGGAGACACTGCAAATTTGTAAACTAGTAGAGACTTCACAATATATAGTTTTCAGTATTGAAGAGAAAATCTGATTTTGCGTTATTAAGTTTGGAAAATATAATTCATACACCTGCCTGCCCTAGATAGTAGAGGATATAAACTAATGGTTTCCCACTTTTCTGTTGGAATGGCACACGTGGCATAAAAAACTGGAGAGAACGCTCCTTTTAATTCACCTGTGACATTGTGATATATTCAGACCAAAGCAGCCTGAGGGAGGAAGAAAGAGGTCTGCGTAGCGAAGCTTCTGCAGTAGTCACTAATAGCCATCCAGCAGATCGGCATATCCTTTGATACTCTGCTACAATCTTGTGAGTTGGGGAGAATCTTCTGGCTTAGGGGTAGATCCACCAGTGATTGCGTGTATTTTCCTTGTCTTCCTCTGCCTTCACCCTACCTGAAGCAGGTTAACTATATGGGAACAGCAATAAGCACACCATCAATATCTATTTGGAAAACTGTCTAAAAGAGAATTGAACAGACCGGGGACAGAATAATGCAAGTTGTTTATTACGTACTCTTCTAGCTGGAACAAAACCTGGAAGTTAACAAGGCATTGTTGAGTACAAATGACTTCTAAATTCACTTGCTGCAAAGCTGACTTTCCAGTTACAAAATGAATCAGATAGTTCTTGGATAGCTGAAAAACAAGAAAACCAACCAAGCTGACACAATTGTGTCTGTATGAAATGGAGCTCTGCTTGTTATTTAGAGGTGTCAGATGAAATTTGAGCCTAGCCTTGTGAAGGAGAAACCATCTGCGGTTTTGTTTTCTGAGCCCTGGGTACAAATTTCCTCTGTGGGCATTTTCTTTAGTAGTCCATGCAGTGTTGCCACATTAATTGTCAACAGGAAAACCATACGCTCAAACTAGTTTCTTGCCTCAATCCAAATCTTGATCCTAAAATCACTGGGAATTTTGATTTGCAGCTGTATAAGTCCTGAACTATCAAAACCTTCAATAGAGTTGAAAACCTAAACCAGAACTTGATTCTAGTTTGCTTGTGTGTCCACCAGCAAATATATTTTTAAAAGATTGTAGCATATGATATAGATGAGGAATTATACTACATTCCAGCTTCCCTGGAAGCCCTGCCTCTTCTGTGTGTAAGAGTAGGGGTGCACGTTGTGTTTTCATCTGGTTGACAGACATGGGGGCTGCTCTGTGAGCTGAAGAGTGTAAACACTTTGCTGAGACATAGCAAAAATCCCCAACACTTTTGTACAAGAATGTAAAAAATCTATTAAAATCCAAAACTTGCTGTGGAATGGAGAAAACATGGTCAAATCAATATTTATTTCATGTTTCATCCTTTTCCCCAGACTCCCTTGGCGTTTTTTCCTTCTGCATTCTAGTCTTATACAGAGACCAAGAATTAGACTGCTGATAATACTAGTATTATATGGCACTTCAGTGGTGGGCCTGAATCTTGCAGGTGAACAAGAGCTGGGATGCAAAAGGATGGCAACGCAACTAGGAAAGAGAACCAACGGGATTGCGAAGAGCAGGAGAAAGTCAAATTTTTGCGTATGTTGCAGATCAAAATCGAAGCGTTGAAGTAGTGGTGATCAGGAAGGAGTCAGTGTGTTAGCAGGAAGTGGGACCCAGTAAGCCACAGTGTGTCTCTCTGGTGGTTTTTTGTATGTGTGTGTGTGTTTTCAAAATGGAGTTCGATGGAAAAAGGCCAATACAGTGTACAAAGGCTGCACAGCCGGGGTTGGAAGCGGAGTTGTACGAGCTCTTCCATTAATCACCTTTTTATTTCTTCCTTCCCTTCCAGGTGCAAGTGGGAAGTACACCTCAGGACCAAAGAATTGTGGGATACATTTCCTGCACTCACTTGCAAGCTATTGCAGGTACTGTCCTAATTTGCGTATCTTAGTTTTTCACTATTTCTAGGCCTGTGGTGTGGTATTGTGCTAAAGTAGCAAGCATTGCTCCTCCACTATTTCTGACAAAGTGCAGTGTGCATTGCAAATAGCATTGCAAATAGGCTTTTTTTGGAATTTTCACTGAATTATCTTAAAAAAGAATGAAATGTTCTTTAATAACAGCTTTCTGTGTCTGTGAGAAATGCGGACTCCACTGCTTCCCGTAACCAAACTGGAATTTCCTGTAGCTCTATCAGGTTGTGGTGGAGCCTGTTCCTCCTCAACCATCTTATTGACCTTTTATGACCTTTTTTTATGATAGTATGTCATCACTCAGCTCTCCTTTTAATATTAATATTCAGAACAAGACTGAGGTAGATGGGTGGCCTTATCTTTACAACCCAAGTCCAGAAAGCAAGGGGAAGAAAAGTTAGTAACTTCGGGTCATTTTATTCCATTTGTAGTGTTCTGATGCATACATTTTGAAATCAACATGCTTCTCCATTTTAGCTGTTTGCCTGAACACTCATCAATTAAAATTGACAAATACTTGGAATTCTTGGAGATGTCTATGGAAAATTTTCCATGTGTGTCTCCTATCTTCTGCACCAAAACAGTCAGTTCTATAGTTAGAGTAGGTGTAGTAATAAAGTAAAAGCCAAATCCACCAAATCCACAAACCTTTACTTTGTGTAAGATCAGAATTTAATTTAGCCAGAGGGGTGGATATCCTTAGTTTTACCTGATGCAACTGCAATTCTTGTGCTCCTGAGAGCTGGAGAGCACGACGTAGCCCTCCTAGACTGCTTGAAGACAGCATGTACGCTGCAGACTGAGGCAAGACAGTAATGTATTATAAATGGTAGAACTTTGAACCTATGCGCTACGGCATGTCTAGGTTAACCCAGTCCAGCAGCTAGCATTCTACTTTGTCAGCGCTGCAGTTGCAGAGAGACAGACTTGGGAACAAAACTGCCAGTCCCTGAAGTACATTAGAGAGACTAGATAGTTCTAAAGAAGATTAATGAATTTTTCAGCTACATTTTAACAATGTAACGTCCTTCTCTGGTTTTCTATTTTTAACTCTGGAATTATGGTAATGTACTGTGAGATTGCTGTTGTGGAGCTGACATTTGTTGCTGTTCTAGTTTAGGTTATAAACCTCCATTTTTAGTCCTGTTCCTTCTTACTACCTAGTCATGTATTCTCAGTTAGTCTTTGATAACCACATTGTGAAATCCCTAAAATATTAAAGAGGAAGAGGGGGCAGGGAAGAAGAATGGGGAAGTAATGTTCTATTTTCAAAGTCAGCCTAAAGCTTCTTCAAGGGTAAAACGCAACCTTTCATTTTCCTACTTATGTTCTTGCTTTGTGTTTTTAGGCTTATCTGGTTCAAACTACATTCAAATAGAGCAGACAATGATTTAAGAGTCTAACTGTCCTTTGATGTATCATATTAGTTTATGTAATGAAATGGAAAACTAAAGTTCATAAATTTGGCAGAGCTGTGCTTTCTGATTTGTATCATCTGATTCGTAACATTTCACACATTTAAAAAATTATGCAAAAACCAGTTCAAACGATATAAAGATGTGGTATCTATAAAAACAAGCACTGTTTAAAAGGTTAAATCATCTTGTCATGGCTGAGTGCAATTTGGCTTCCCTTCTAGGATACATGAACTTACACTTGGCAGTTCTGATACTTACATGAGTATAAAATGAAGGGATCCAACTGCTTATGGTCAGGGACGAAATACTAATGCTTTTTTCAAGAGATGTGCTGGCTCAACTCTGTTCTCAGCAATGACTATTTTTTCAGACGTGACATTCACCTTTTTCAATAAAGCTTTAGAATTAGATGTAGCTTATTCTCCCAATTCTCTACCTATTACTGAATGGTGCTATGAAGCAGCTCATCATTTCCACTGTGGAAATAGCTGCATTTCAGTGACAAATGAAGGGATCCTTTAATGAGACTTGAATGTAATTATTTTCCAAGGGGCTGTTAAGTTTACATGGTTCTTTTATGTCTTTCAATTAGTCAGATTAACGTTCTGGACAGGTTTTGCTGCCTAGAATCCACCCACCTCCCAAGTCCCTTTGAGTTATGCCTTTCAGACACCCCACCAAGCCATCAAAACAGACTAAACCTCAAGCTATTCCAGCCCAGGTCCAGATGATGTAGCATGCTGGATGCTATCTCATAACCTCACTGACCTCCCTGTTTTGCATTTAGTGTGAATCTAGTCATTAGCAGTACAGGTACTGGCAACTCATGCTTCTCTAGCACCCGTTTCAAGTCCCACAAGCCTACACACGGCTTAAGCAGAACTCGGCTCAGGACTGAGAGAGATCCCTCAGTGTTTGAAATTCTGACTGTGCAATCAGGAGTAACTTCAGTGCTAAGCATCCTTAGGCAGTGATTCCACATATGTTTCTGAAACAGGAAAGCTGGCGTATCCACATCCTGGCAGCCTGCCCCTGCCCCCTCCTCTCAGTTGTGCTAACACAGCCGTTGCAGGCTGTGTTGCACTTGACTGGGGACCTAACCTAGCTGAAAAGTAACCCAGCAGAATAAAAGGGATTTTTTGTTGTTTCGGTTTTTTGGGTGGTTTGGTTTTATTTTGTTTTCCCAGCCTACCCTGGATTAAGTATGTTGCAAGTGTAGGGGTCTGCTTAATCTGCCTCACAGTCAGGTGTGATACAGCCCGTCTCATGGCTAAACCGAAGCCTTTGGTTGTACTCGGAAACAATTTTTCCTTTTGACAAGGCTTTACATCCTACACTTTATAAGCTTTTTTGCTCATCTTCCCCAGGTTCCCTGCCAATATATCCCATAGTGCTTATCAGTGCTGAGAACTCTGGTTTTAAAAACCTCCACTGGATCTTTTAATTTCCTCTGACTAGGCCTGTCAGCTGCTTTGTTCAGCCACCATAGTGCTCCTTCTAACGTCTTTCAGAGTAGGACAAAACAGTCTTCCTCAGTGTATAGTACTTACCTGCAGTTCTAACTAAAGTCAGAATTTTACTTAACCATTTCCAAAGTGAATGGAAAGGGCAAGTATGATTACCCTATAATGAAAAAAGATGAAGTATTTATTTATGCTGGCTGAGGTTTCCCACACAACCCTTTCATCCTTCCACAAAATTTGAAGCTGAAGGGAATTTGCAAAGAATTCGGAAATGCTGACTGCAGGAACCAGTCACAACACAATTATTTGCATTTTTCCAGGCCAGTTACTGAGGAAAAGAGTATAGAGCAATTAGCACAAATCTGTATTCTCTGATTAATCTCTGGTGGCAGTCAATCAGATCAGTGATTCTATCTGAACGTTTAATTAGAGCTGAAGGCTGGAAAAAGGAGAAGTTGAGTGTTAGTGTTGGGAGTTACTACCTAGTTCTGTTCTGTTAATATTTACTGATGCTATTTCATTTCAGCAGCAGTTTCTGAAATGTCTGCTCCCCTGATTGTTCTGGATTCAGGTTTGGCTTCTCCTCTACCTTGGTGTCTGATTAGTTCAGTTCTCTTCATCTCCAAAGCTATTGATCATTGGGAGCTGGTAAGACTGAGTCTCACTAGTAACTTTTGCATACAGATACCTGCAGTACCTGCTGTGTAGCTGCAGTAAGCTGGATACCGTTAGTTTAATATTAATCTCAGAAAACAGTTATATTCAAGCCGCATTAGAGGATCCCATCTTTTGTCATGGAAATGTAGCTGACTTCATTGCACAGGCTCCACGTAGAGTACTGAAGTGCAATTACTTCTATGACCTCTAGTGGGGATAATCAGAGATGCCAGACTATCACAACTCCACACTTTCTAAAAAGAAGTGAGTCATCTGTTTCTAGAGTTCCAAGGCTACTATTTTTCTGTAGAGCCCTGAAGTTATCTGGTGTACAGTACTGCTACAAAGGCTCAGCATTCTTACCGAGGGAGATGTATGTCACTATGTAGTTAATGCCTTTTTAATAATAGCAATGCATGTTACCAGACACCTTTCACAAGATCCTCCTTAAATGTTTTTGCCTGTCTGTCTTTTGTTCTTCTCAAGAGTTTTTTGTTTTGGCGAATTTTACTTTTGTGTGTTTTTACCATTTAAGTGGGTTCGCTATATTCTTCACGCTGTGACACGTTGCTGCCTGAGTTTTATGCCCATATGGCAATGGCTGCATTATTTTATCTCTCATCTTAGTGAAGCCATGCTAAATGGATAATCCACAGAAAATGCAAAAAACCCTTGACAGTTCAGGGATGTAAAAGCCAGTCTTAGATAGTTAAGCAATTTATATAATCGGGACTTTGTGGGGAGCAAGATGTTACTGCATTCTTGTCAACAAGCACCATGCTTAAAAGTTATGTTATGAGGAAACAAAGGCAGGCCAGAAGAAAGTACTGGCTTAAGGAGAGGAGATAGGATAGAAAGATTCAGATTCTGCAAAAGGAGGACAGTCCATGAATTTGAGTAAGCTTCACCAGGAATGACAAAGTTGGGACTGTTCAGCTTCAGGAGGAGAAGGCTCAGGAAGGATCTTACCAAAGTGTGTAAATACCTGTTGGGAGGGCATAAGGAAGATGGAGGCAGACTCTCCTCAGTGGGGCCCTGTGACAGGATGAGAGGCAATGGCACAAATTGAAATGCAAGAAATGCCATTTAAACAAAGGAAAATGTTTTTTATTGCAAGGGTGACTAAGCACTGGAACAGGTTACCCAGAGGTTACAGAGTCTCCAACCATGGAGATATCCAAAGCCTGACTGGGCACGGTCCTGAACAACCTGCTGTAGGTGACCCTGCTTGAGCAGAGGGGTTGGACTAGATGATCTCCAGAGGTCCCTTTCAAGCTCATGCTTTCTATGAATCTGTAATTTCGTCTGTATCTTTGGTTAGCTAGAAGGTATACGTTAGTCACGCACACCTTTTGTGGTTAGTGTCACCTGCTCCAGGCTGTGTTTATTCCAAGTGACCTATTTCTTGTGCTTT